GGAAACGAATGACGGCGAAACCGATCCCCGCGAATATACGCCCGGTTCCCGTTGTTATCGCCGCATCTGCCAAATCAATGATCACTCCTTTTTTTTTCATTTAGCCCCGGTCACCGCTGCCGTCGATCGATCCTCTCTGTCTGTCAAGGCGTACGTCGATCGTTGTTATTGATATTTTTTTTTTCTCGTTCGATGACGAGTTTGATTTTCTCCTCATTTTTTCGAACCTAAGTAATTTGTTTAGCTGCGACATTTTTCTTCTACCGGTTTTGTTCAGCTTGTATTTATTTCATTTGTGCAAGGTGTTCTGAAAGTTTGGAATTATACTGTTCGCCTAATTCTTACTTTATTCAAAGATTCGATATTTTTTTTTCAATTTAACTGTTTCTAACCTGATTCCTTTTTTGTTCTTGAGAACAAAAGTTACAGTTGATTACAGTTTTACATTTGCATGGGAGAGGAAAAAGTTAGTAGTTATTATAAAGAAATTGGCTTGGGCACATTTTTTTTTTTAAACTGACCCTCTGGAACTCGATATCTCTTCGTTTATGAGAAGAAAAATTACGAAATTACATATGTCGAAACAAAAATTAATAATGGCTTGAGCATATTTTTTCATTTTTAAATTGACCCTCTAGAACTCGATATTTCTTCGTTTATGAGAAGAAAAATTACAAAATTACATATGTAGAAACAAAAATCGATAATTATTACAAAGAAATTGGCTGGTAATGATATAATAATCATTGTAATGCAGTAGTATAACACTAAATAAAATCAGACTTGTAAGTCACAAGAATGATTTTTTTCTTATAATTTAGATATATTAGATTCTTATTGTTTTTTTTTTTTTAAAGATACTTTCGTGTATCTAATGAACTTGTAATATACATGAACTTTGTAAGCAGTTTGTTTGAGGTGAGAAGTTGCGATTGAGATGAACAGCTTTTAGCTGAAACCAGAGTCGGATTGTGGCTAGACAAATTGAGTAATAAGGGATTTCTGAGAAGTTCTATCTGGAATTCGAATCTGGGATCTTCTTACCATTGTTCCTTGATGTCTTCGTCGACCAGTGGAATTGACATCACTTTCTCAGTAGTTTTAGATGTACTTATACTATATTCGGTAAACTCCGCATGCAGACAACAGGAAAAAATTGAAACAACGTGATTTTGTAGCTTCAACTTACAGTAGTAATGGCCTTTGGTCAATCTGAATTGAACGTTTCAGCATAGAGTGATAACTCTTGGATCTCGCATAGCATAATAACTCCATAAATTAAGCAACAGTTTGTATAAAAGCAAAAAATTAATTTTCAATTAAAATTGCTTCGCAAGAATTGTTTGTCCTTTTCAATTATAATCTTCCACGTCAAAATTGTACCAACCCCAAAATTTACAAAACTGACTGACTAAGAATCTCGTAACGATCGATCACCACGAATTTTCAATTAAAATGACCATACCTGGAACAATTATCACTTCTTTCGCAAATCTCTTAATTATCAATCACCCTGATTGGAACTTCTATCAGATACTCGAACCTTCCACATTTCACATTTATATCCGGAAATACTCGGTAAAATGAATATCGAGTCCCAGAACGGACACACTATCATCGAGTTTCCATTATACAGGGAGACAACAGGCTAAATGAATGTTTACTTAATGGAAGATTACTGTTTCGAGCCTTGAGGGTATCAACGTTAAATAGGCAAACCGGTAATTAATGGATTTATTATCGAATTAACGAACTCTCAGCCTCGGTGAAAAATGGACGGGGAGAAAGTGGAGGCCGGGGTGAATTCGAAATCCATTACTAGCCGGCGACAGCTCCGGGAATAGCCACGGAAAACTGAATACACCACCATACGCGATACGAGTCTACCCGGCGAAATAAATCATCCGAAAAATGTTAATTTTCATTCGAACCTTCCCCCTCCCCCCACTTTGTATATCCACAGCGCGCTCAACTAAACGATGTTTACTGCTGTCTATTTGTTTATTTATTTAGTTTGGTTCGATACGCGATAAGTAGTTTCGACACACAGCTCTAAACGGAGCCTTTTTTGCTTCTTCTCTTCGACTAACATATAAACTTTACGTATTATTTTGGTATACAGGGTATTTAATCCTCGACAGGTATGTCAGTCGTCCGACCCTTAGATTTCTTAGCATGTAGTTCTATTGTATATATTTTTCGCCTTTGCTCAATCGTAGTCTTTCAATCTAAGAACTTGTTTTCGACTTAGAATCTTCGCCCCTTTTTTCACTTGCACATTTTTGCATTCATATGGTCACCAGAGCCGAAGCGCGTCTTAACGTTATTGTCTGCTACGGTCATTGTTCGAGGCACTCGGAATTCCCGTGTGCGTCACTCAAGGGTACGCTTGGTACCTGAGAGTGACCTATGGTTTGGGGGGTGGCATTTTCGTGTACTTTTTCCCACCTATGATTTTAACCAATAGTTTTCGCCAACCACCCTTCCCCATCACTATCGAAAAATGTACTCAACCTATCCGAGGGCCTCACCCCCGCGGTGCATCCTCGCACGGAGGTGTCGTGGGACCTTTCGCGGAAGGGAACAACGAGAAGTCATCTGACCACGCGACGAGTCGCTCCCTTTAGAAGTTTAGATCATTAGCAATAGTTGCTTTGTCCTCCTAATCACGGAGGTGGTCCTTCGAAGACGAACCTATTAGATTTAGTCGGCACACCACGTGCTAAATTCGACAAAGCTCGAAAGTTGGTTGCAACTACCACGAGCACATCCTAACACAGGGTGTTCTAGTATTGATGGTAAAACCGAGGAAGGGGATGATTGTACATGAAAACGTAAGTCGAAAATGTAGAATTAATTTGATGGGCGTGAGGTCCAAAGATTCTTGTGGACGTGACTGAATGTCCGTTGAGAATGTATGCCTAGAGTGCAAGGAATAGAGAATTAGAGAAAGAATGTTGGGGTGTGAGGATAAGTGAGGGCGAAAGAAGCACGTGCGAGACAGTATAGAGAACAGAGTCGAAAGTGGGAAAATTGAGTATTGTGAGAAAAACTGAGAGACTGTATAACCACCATTATGGTATATTCATTTAAATATATACGTACACTACCGATCAAAAGTTTGGAATCACCTGAAAATTTATATTCATATTAAATCTGACGTTGAACTGAACTTCGATTGAACTGAATGGTAAAAAATTCATGAAAAAATTCTTAAAGTTGCTTACTTTTGTCGGGAAATTTTTGTGTAACTTGCATTGCACAGTGATCATTAGGCTGCGGATTTTTACGCATTTTTAGGAACTTTAAAGGTGCAATATTGCACAGAATGCACGTAATACGAGAAAATATTCAAATTACAGTGCTTTTTATAATACCTGATAGGTGAAATAATTTCCTACCGGAGTTCTACTTTTCTTACTGTATTCTCAAAAATATAAATTTGCATAAAAATCCGCAGCCTAGCGATCCCAAATTTTTGGCCGGTGGTGTACGTATACATTATTATTTCCTAAAAACCGTGAAACAACCCACTTATTCGCCTCAAACCCCTACATCAATATCTCTCTTCTATTCTCTTTCTTCACATCTAGGAGATCTTTTGAAACAAAAGCCTGCTCCAAAAACAACGAGACTAAATTCATAAAAGTTATTCTAGGTTACATTTTTAAGAATCAGAGTCTTCAGGAAATGTTCATCCTCTAGAGCGTTCATTTGACCGGTCACAGCCTTTCAAATGTTTTCAATTGTACGACGAGCTTTTAGATGGGAATACGGAGGCTGAAGCATCACTAGAATTTTCTTTGCAGACAATAATTCGTTAACAGAAACTGCAGTGGGAACAGACCGTTTGTTTCTTAATTAATGGGAAACTTTTCATTTTTGTTTCTTTCTTTAATGGTCACAGGAGTGGTCCGAATAGGCTGAATTATTGAGAACAATAATTTATGGATTGCTACGTTCGTTTCTGTCGAAACATCGTTAATAGGTTGTTACGAATCGCAATAGGCTGGTCGCGGAACGTTAATCTTTTCGAGTCAAACCATCTAAGGAATCTATCCGAGATAAGGGACTCAGGTAGTGCACGGTAGATTGATAGTTAACGCACAACAACTTGTTGTTAAACTATGTATTTGAGAACGTGTACAGAGCGCGAAATGTCTGAGCTTACTTGTAGGAGAATTGTGATGTGTCGTGTGGTGTTCGCTATTTTATAAACTACGTGTGCGTTGTGATTGGTGGTGGAAGTGTGTGGTGATTGGTTTTTTGGGCGTGCTTGGGGTGTGTCTGGTGGTGGTGTGAAAGTGGGGAATTTGTTCTTACATTTGTTATATTGCTTGTTGGAGGTCTGTTTATTATCTTAGGTGATGTGGTGTTCAGGTGTGAGAGGCATCGAGTCTTTGGGTGTCGTAAAATAATTTTCGTGCCGGCTAAGACCTCGCTTTTTAGGATGTACTGGTCTATCGGGAATACCGATGTATTGTTCGGCTCGTCGGTACGGCAGAACAACCCAAGCGACGTCTGTTACGCATGTGACAAGGTACTTATTTGAATTACATTTTTCAATACTCCTGAATGTATTGTTCGGCTCGTCGGTACGGCCGAACAACCCAAGCGACGTCTGTTACGCATGTGACAAGGTACTTATTTGAATTACATTTTTCAATACTCCTGTTTTCTCATGTTTATCTCTGACTTTTATCCTGGAATCGTTTCCCCGAGCAATTTTTTCCTGCAATTTTCACGTCGAATCTACGAAATATGTTCAACTAGCAAATAATTTCAAATTTTGAGAGAACTAATATAAAGTACAAATTCTACCGAAGTTCGTTTGTCTTCGTTAAAGAAAAAAGCAAAGCGTGGCAATCAGAACTTTCGAATTACCACGATCAAGTATTCAATCCTTCTTTACTCTTGAATATACGGAGACACTCTGAAGTTAAAGTACTGCAACGAGGAATAAAAAGAGAGAGAGAGAGGAGGAATGCTGGATAAATTACCTTGTGTTTGTCGACCAACACGGGTCTCAAGTGGCGGTCGAAGAGAAGCTTGTCAGGTTCGATGTTGATAGGACTCTGTCTCCTTCCTTTGGTGCACAGATACCACTGGGGGTTTATCAGACCCCAAAACGAGGGTCCTGCAAGCAGAACGAAAACGTACGCGTTAACATTTTCCTACATTTTCATCTTAACCCTTTCGTGACCAGTGGAACGCATATGTCTCGCTTGAGTACTCGAACAAAATTCTGACGATGAAAACGCAGTAATTCGCGTTAACCATTTCGACGATCGGCAGATAAATAAAAAATTATTCGGTCAGGAAAGGGTTCAAGTATATCTATAATAATGTCTCAGAACGTTTGCGTGGCGGAATATTTAATGTGGATGATGTGCGTGGTGATTGATTGGGTGTCGAAAGAGGTGAAAAGAAGGAACCAAAAATACGGATACGTAATTGGATATTAGAAAAGCCGGTAGAAGGATAAGGTAAGGCTGGAAGAGACTTGTAAGCTGGAGGAATATGGGGGAAATCCTGGAAGGAAAGAAGCGTGATGAAAGTAACCGGGATTATGACAAGAAAAGAATTTCTTTGGGTCTTGAAATTAAGGTTGGATATGAGTGTTCTATGGGTTTATGATTTTATTGTATTCTGTGTACTTGTTGTTTATTAAGTGACAACCGTACAAGAACCACGGAACGGGGATACGTTGACAAAGTAGCGGACTATTCGGTACTTTAATTGAGCTGCCTGCGTAACGGGACTAATCTCTGATTTTTCAGGAAGGACGAATAATATGTGTTCGTATCTTGAGGAGTGGAGATTAGGATTTGTAAGGGTTTGGTATACCAAGGGCAGGTCATCTTGACAAGAACAAAGTCGTTATCGAAATTTCGGGTATTTACAAAATGAGAATCGAAGACTAACGCTTAAATCTACAGCGCAATTTCGAATAACAGATAACGTCGGTGTACAACAATTTCCTCTGGCCGATCGGCTGCGCCTCCAACTTCTTTTTAACTCAACGAAAAAACCACAAGCACGCTAACAGCTGATACCAGAGGAATTACCACGAGAAAACATTTCGTTGGTTACACGGTCATCGGGAAAACAATATTTTCCAACGGTTTCCAATTTTCCACGGGTGGAAGTTGCAGAGAACGTGGAAGTTTCACCGTGGGGGAAAAAACGCCACTGTGGCGATCCCAGGCGACCGTGAATCGTCGTCGTCTTGTCGTCTGTCAGCCGTTTGGAAATTTGAAATTTTTATAATTTCAACTTTTCCGGCTGGCCTGTTCCGCAAGCCACCGTTCGCCGGCGGGGCGGGGAGAACCTTGGCTGCTCTGCTCGCGTCAACTTTTATTCGGTAAAAGGGCTTTCGAACTCGTTTCGTTGCGCGACACGAACCAACAGGGAGCTCTGACCAGCTTCTGCTCGCATTTTCCGGCTGTCTCCTCTGAGAAATTTAACTTTCTTCGGTGTGGACCGCGGGAATCGATAGCAAGAATGCCACGGCTAACGAGTCCTTCCCTTCGTGAATTTATGTCGCACGATAACGGCCTCTGCTCGCTGTTCGCTGTACCTCTTGCTCAGCGGTTCTTCTGTATCGGTTTGATGGCTACGCGGAATTTACGGACCAGGTCGAATTGAAAATTATGGCCCGCTATAGGTTCTTCCTCTGGCTCTTGCAAGTTACAGGATTTCATTTTGGGCTCGGATCGGGCTGATCGGTTTATTTCTACGCTGCAAACGGTTGTTTAACGGAATCTCGAAAGGGACGAACGGAATTGATAGAACTAGTTTAATGGAATGAAAGAAAGAAATTATACTACTGCAGCGAGCCTCCTACGCTCTACCACCAGAAGGACGAACTAACCACAAGTTCTCGCTAGTCCTCATAAAGGCTCCTATTTGTATATATACAACTTCTGGCCTGAGTCCTTCCAGTCAATTTATAAATGACCCAAAAATATGCACATACTCACATCAAGTTTTCCAGGTCACAAGCGGGTAATAAGGCACCCAACTGCCCCGGGCACCGCATAACAACCACACAAGAGAAGAGAGAAAAAAAAAAGTCCTTCCAGTCCCTCCCACATCTAAGACACAGGTCTCCTAGGTAGCCTTACTGACGAGTCCACTAGGAGGCCCAGGACGAAGCATCCTAACCTTTCCTTTTCCGCCTATCCACAATCAATTGCCTATCCACCTTCGCTAGGTGTAGTCGAGGCCACGATATAGCGAGGTCGTAGAATCGGTCAGGCGTCAAAGTAAACATGTTTCAGCTGGCCAAAAGTTGACCGAAATACGAGCAGATATGTACAGAAGAATTCAGCTGGGACAAATTAGGGTTTTTCTCCCTGGGAGAAGCCGCTTTTGGAAGTACAGTTACAGGTAAAGGTCTTGTCGAGGCCTTTAGCACTCGTGTTATATACAGATAGAAAGTGCAAAAAGGTTGTGTAGCTTAATATCAACATATTTTCCGTTTGTCAATGAAATACCATTTTCTACTTGAAATACCAAATCATATGCTACCGTTCGTTTATTATTGGAACCCTCAAACAGACTGCAACACATGGCGTTGAGTGCCGCAACATCAATCGGTGCCGATTCTTGAGAGTTCAATTTACGACCTCGCTATATCGTGGCCCCGACTACACAGCGTGGGACAAAAGTGAGTGCTACCACGTTACAAGCTGTTGGGTTCCATGTAAGACACACGGTCACGTTGCTTTAGATGAACGTTCGGTCTATTACTGCTAGTACAAGATTTGGTTTTTCTGGATTTTGGGGATATACTTATAGCGTATCCACGATGAGGGGAAGGGATACGGATGATCGTTTCCCTCAAGCCCTTACCGTGGACGAGTAAGGCTATTCGGTCTATTACTGCTAGTACAAGATTTGGTTTTTCTGGATTTTGGGGATATACTTATAGCGTATCCACGATGAGGGGAAGGGATACGAATGATCGTTTCCCTCAAGCCCTTACCGTGGACGAGTAAGGCTATGATGACGAAGTCCTTCCTAATCAAAGGTTAAGACAGCCTCGAAAACATTGTGACTCACAATGATCGAAAGTTGAACAATTACTAAAGGCATTGTCATCCGACAAAGGTACCCTAGAATTCTCATAAAAGCGTTCGAAATTTCGGGAAATATTTTAAGAAGGAAGAATTTTAAGGATCTTTAAAGAATTCTTCGTTACAAAAAGAAAGTAATGTGCTATTAATCCTTTGCACCCGAGAGGTGACTAAGAAGCGACATTATATTTACCATTGGAGACATCTCTAAGGATGATATTTTCCAAGAATTGTTCACTACATGTTTGGAGGTCTTCGTTACAAAAAGAAAGTAATGTGCTATTAATCCTTTGCACCCGAGAGGTGACTAAGAAGCGACATTATATTTACCATTGGAGACAACTCTAAGGATGATATTTTCCAAGACAGCAGGTCTATGGACCTCCGTGAATTGTTCACTACATGTTTGGAGGCCTCAGCGGTGAAATAGTTTGAAAGAACCAACTTCTAATAAAAATTACATTAATTTTTGCTACTTACTTATAGAAAAAAGGGCCTTCGAGTGCAAAGGGTTAAACCCTGCAACACTAATTACAAAAATTCGGTAAAACCTACGTAACCTACGTGAACCTACTTCAAGTTCTATTTTTCCCTTTAAACCTCCTTTAACTATCGAGAAGTATCTATCAATCATCTTGTCAAACAAACGTCATTTCACCGTCGAATTAATACGAATTCCCCTTCTCCGAAGCACGTTCCCAATCTCAGCGATCGAACGCTATCTTTTCCAATAGTATTTTCCAAGCTCCTCAACATTCACACACACACAGAGGCACACGATGCTCAGATGCGATAAAATGATTAAAGCGGGCGAGAGATGCCGGTTGAAGTATCGCGCGTCTTTTCGCTTAAGCACGATACAATTCCGTTGCATTCTCCATCTTCCAGCGTTCTGACGTCTATGATATTAACGATCCGGCGCGTCGTAGGGGTAAGTAATAAATTATTGCTCGTATAAACAACTCGTATAACCGACGCGCCAGGCACGTCAGCACGGAAATTTGCCACCGTGACGGCACGCGACGTTGTACACAAAGGGACTCTTGTACAACGATCCATACACGCCGCGCGGTTTTCTAGCAAAGTGTTCCGTGATACTTTCTCATCTTCATTTAATGCATAATAATTGAGAATATTCGCTCGAGTAACGTCACTTGGCGAAAATTTTCCGGCCGTTTCCGCGCTCCTCTTTCAACCCCGATGCGTTTCGATCATTTATAGCGAGCTAACGATGATGATCAATGGTGATAAAATCGTCGAGGATGGGTTTTCAGATAGCGATTCAGCAAGGGTTGTAATTTAATGGGTTTTAAATTTTTAGTTTTAGTCGCTTTCGATCACTGTGGAGGATATTAAAGATGCAAAGAATATTTTCACAGACGAGTATTGAAAATTGAAGACTTTTCTTACGGCAGGATACGAACGATGTGGGATTTTCATTTATTTTATCAATTTTTCTCTCGAAATCTCAGTTTCTGCTACTTCCTACAACTTCTTTCAATTTCTTTAAAAAAATCTAACTCTTAACCCTTTCACTACGGCAGATTTGAATGCGCAACGTGGGTGACTGACGGTGAATTTTTACCGGCTGCAAAATTTCTTATTTTGGCCGTATCGTTTAAAAATTTGCTTTATTAAATTAAAGTGGAAGTGCGAGCAGGATAAAATTTAGTATTAAATTAAGGTGAAAGTGCGCTAAAAGCCTTCAACGGTATAGTGTGAGCAAATTTTCAAAACGCCAATAGTAACGAAAGGGTTAACTGAAATTAGCTTATTAAATTCTTTCTAATAAAAGATTCTTACTTCGTTGGTCTTCTCTGTATTCGGAGTTTCTAATTGTCTAAATCGACTCGATAACGTTCAACCGTGTCCTCCTCATCAAAGAAACGTAACTTTCCCGAATGACACCCCTAAGATCGATCACAGAGCGATTCTTTTACGTGTCAACGAGAGCTGGAATAACCTTTGCACGCGAGTGCAATTAAAAATTAGAGTTCCGGTAAGTACGCGCATGGGGTCAATGCCGATATACAGAATCGTGTTCTCGCGTCGCGCG